TTGATTATTGTTTTGCGAATAACTACTCGAATAATGATTCCTATTTTCCTGTTCTAATCTTAATTCTACCTGTTCTGACATAGCGATTTGTTTCGCGATTTCAAGAGTTTTAGCATTACGAGATTTTACTATCGTTCTAATCGGTTCTACTAATCCTTTAATAAATATTGCTAGAGTTTGGTCCCTTAATGTTTCATGTATAATTTTTGCTTCTGCAGGTTCTTTGCCTAATGTACTTACGGTACATAACTGATAATATAGTTTTTCTACTCTATGGCAATAATCGTTCACATCCTCATTGTGATTCATTCTAATCGAATTTAATTGAAGTTGTAACGACGATGCATTGGTTGTTACCTCGAATGCGTCTGTTAAATATGCTTTTATAAATTGCCATTTTGTTACGTTTTTATATTTAATCATTTCTAGTGCTCTACCCGTTAATCGCGTAGTGATATATTTTACTAATATTGGTGCGCTAGTTGCGTCGACTAAACCTACTGCCATATCACATGCATTTATGAATTGGTAAATATCGTCTATCCCTGTGCATACTGGAATTAATTTAAAAGCGTCTTCTAATTTTATGGTTACTGCCATTTTTTTATTGCGTGATTTAGATATAAAATCTAACGACTGATGTTCAAAACTTTCTGTGACTTTGCTACGTGTGACTACTCCTAATTGTGGACTTGGGGTTTTACTTGTGCTATCTCCTAACTGGGTATCTACTATAATATTTAACTGGGCTTTCTGCTGGGCTTCAAACTGGGCTTGGGCTTCTCTCTGGGCTAATAACTGGGCTTCTAACTGGGCTTCTTCTACTACACTAGTGTCATACAATGAATTAGCTACGTTCAAGGGAGATGTATCTTCTTTGTCCATAAATTAACTTAACCACCTATTTAATACGTTAATAATCATAATAATACTCAATAAAATTCAATAATGCCCTATAAATACAATAATAACTTCAATAATATGCCCTCTAATAAATTCAATAAACTTCAATAATACTTCAATAATAAAAATGCCCTCAATAAATCAATAAACTTCAATAATAATCAATAATAACTTCAATAAAATATGCCCTCAATAATAAAACTTCAAATAATCAATATGCCCTCAATAAACTTCAATAATAATCAATAAAATATGCCCTCAATAAAATTTAAAACGGTTTACACCATTACACTTATAATCAACTACCTAGATTTATCTTAATATGTCTTAATTATGTTGCATACGTCTATGTAACAAATTTAAATAACTATTCACTCACAATAATGCTGCGTTCATGGCTGATGATGACATGTTGCCGTTGATGATGCTGCTAATGGATTTTGTTGGTACTGCAATGTGACTTATTTGTTTTTTTGTTGGTTCCTCCTGGAGTTGTCTTCGCTGAAGAGTGATCAATTCTTCGTTGTTGACAGTAGCCTTTGATGGTTGCCTCCCTTTGTGGAATCCTACCTTTGACTGCGCCAGTGTTACATGCGGCCCTTCAGGGATCCAAAAGCTGGTGTACTTGATAAATAATAATAGTCAATTAGAATGGTAATCAAATGTATTATATTAAACCAGACAAAACAAGCAGAATAATAGTGTTGATTGTAGTGAATTTGTAGTTCGTTCCGAAGTTGATAATCTCCGTGTAAGTCGTGTGTGATGGCTGGGCGGCTAAGCGAGTCGTGTGGTGTTCTCGTCTCTGGATACATCTAACTCAGGCTGTCTCGCTGTCCCCTATATATATGGTGGCGGCGTCCTTTGAAAGTGAGCGGCGCGTGTACAGTCGTCCTTGATATGGATCTTACGACTATGAAAGTGGTATTCGTAGTCGAAAACACTTTTGGGTGTGGTCGCATTCCTGGTTGTTATTATGAGCAAATATATAATATTGCGTAATCCCATTACAATATCAACAAACTGTAAAGATCAAAGTTGTTCAGAAAAAATAAAGAAATCGAAATCCGGTCTCCAAAATAGTGGTTGCTATTTAAGAAATTTTTATTTTACTGCGCATGCGCTGATAAAAAAAAAATAAAAATTTGAATTCATTAAAAAAATATGTATTTATAAGTCCTAAATGCAGTATAAAAACCCCGATTCAAATTCAATGTCCCACGATCGAAATATTTCCTGTTACCTTTAAAATTGAACACACGGTATATTATATTACATATATTTGTCATTAACTATTAATAATAATAACTCCCTATCTCCAATACAAGCTGCATAATAGAATATACTATTTAAGTGATACATCATATAGTATATTAATTATTACAAGTGATGCATAAGTAATCTAAAAATGAACCTTAATGTTATACATTTTATAACTTATAAAATTATTTTTCTCACCAACTCCTCATATAAACATTTAGCTGTGTCATATTCTTGAGTAATTAAAAATTAACAATTAAGCAAATTGTAACTTATAACCTTAAAATTTAACTATAGATTAGTCAATAGACATACTCTTATTCACAAAGTTGCATTTAAATCTCAAGTCAAAAACCAAAATTGAATATTTTTAATGGCAAGCGGAAAACAAAAACATCCATATAATTTATCTTTTTATTATTTTTTATTTTAGTTTATTTTACATTTTTTTTGTTTTTTCTTTTGTTGTTGTTGTCGCTTTTGCTGCAGCTTCAGCTTTCCTGACAGCAATGGCAGCCTTTGCGGCTGCTCCTTCCGCCTCCGTTTTGTTGCAGGAGAAAGTCTCATGGCCGTTCCAGCTACAATTCTCGCAACCTATGAAATCAAAAAAATTAATATATGTAAAATAACAGTGAAATGGATTATTGTATACGTAAAATGTTGAACGTTAGTAACTATTTTAAGATTCTTAGAGAAAACACACTTTGATTACCTATTACAAGAACAAAATATAGTCAGACTATACTAATACTAATAGGTACTTCTCCTTCTTTATATTATAATATAGTATAATTATAGACTCAAAAAATTGACCTCTAATAGGTAAATATAATAAATTCCAAATTAATCATATCACAATATCCATTAGGTACTTATAACGCGTTATACATCAACAACAAACCATGATACTATCATAGATATATTATAATAGTACACTTTAGAAGTTTCAATTGGCCACGAATAATATTATACAATCACAACAAAATAACTAAAATAGTTATTCTAAGTTTTCTAATATGTAATTTCGTCCAAATTTGAACTTAAAATGACTATGGAAGGAGCTTTGCATTAAATTTTCAAGCTTTTATAACCAACAAATAAAATTTTATTGATATTTTTAGAAAAAAAACTAAAAAAAAATGGTTAATTAAAATGTCCCTAAGCAGTTGAAAATGAATCAAAATATTTTAAAAATATTATCGTGTACAGAAAATGCAAATATAAACAACCAGTGAAAATGTCATGTATCTATGGTCATTTATTTTAAAGTTACACCAAAAACCAAATTCAATTTTGTGAAAAATCAATTTAGCGTAAAAATTCCCGTTTTTCCTTAATTTTTATGTTCTTTTTCCCGGCGCTTGTGAAAACTATTGGGAATATTAAATTTTGACCTCCCCAATGCACCAACTATATTCACTTTCCAATCGAACAAGATACTGAAGTTGAAAATCGAAACATTATTTCGACTACTTATCGTGCACACGGACACAAAAAAAAAACCCACATCATTGTGAAATCAATACATTCATCGTTCCACTCAGAATCTAAAAAAAAAAACTGAAACAACACATTCGGGTATGGCGGCATCTTAAAATATTGAAATTTCATGAAAATAGGGTGAAGATCTTCTCTGACGACTGACATGGATTTCTTACTAAATATTATCTCTCTGAAATTTAATTAAATAATAAATGTACTTACGCTGGAGTCTGTGGGAGATTACCAAAGCTTGGCCGCTGTTGCCGCCACGACCACGTCTACCACGGCTGCCGCTACCAGCATTACAGCCGTCACCACCACCGTTTGATTTTCCGACATCACCGTTCCGGCTGCCGCTATCGCCGTTCCACCAACCGCCGCCACCATTCCAGTCGCCGTTCCACCCACCCCTGCCACCGTTCCAGCCGCCATTCCACCCATCACGGGCATCACCACCACCACCACAGCCGCCTCCTCCTTCGGCGCCAAAATATACATACATTGACATCTATAATATAGGTACATTCAAATATTATATTTATAAAGTTCAAATTACGTTTTAAGACCATTTGGCCACTCTCATTCACCATTCATAAATGAATGGTACAGAATTGTTCTTAATATTATGTTTTATAAAATTAATAAATTAGGGTTGCACTACAATAATAAATAATAATGACTGTAATCTGAACATTGTGATAAAATAAAAGGACACAATTATGAAAATTATTTCCATACGTCCCGGTTTTAACCATGTGTCCCGGTGTCCCGAGAAAGTGTTTCGGGACAGCGATTTGTCCCGGTTTTAAAATTTTACTAGATAAAATACAGATTTTAAATTATAAAAAACATTGTCTTCCTACACATTATAAAATGCAAGAATATACAAGTACACGCGATAATTATAAGTATTTTATTTTTAGACTTTGTATGGTAAAACCCAAAATGTATTACCGCGATAATCATAAACTTAATGGTTTTTATTAAAACCGCTACGCCACTACAGTAATAATATTATCTACTTCAGAGTGTAGTAGTTTCATTTTAATGTTCAGTATCGTTCTACACGTTAGTTCTTAGTTCACGCCGTGTCGCCGTCTGGCTGTCAAATATAGATTGCCGAATTCCGTTCGTGTAAAATAACTTTAATATTTACTTTGTTTTGGATAAATTAATTGGTGTGAGCTATTTTTCTCGTGACGACATAATTGCACCAACACGATGTGGTAAACGGTTATGTAGATGAAAGTGCTTTGTTATGGCTTAAGTTTTTGTGTAGTCAGTTAAAAACTATAAACTCGTTTATAAAGAAAGTTGAAAGTCAAAAATTATCTGTGATCGAATTAATGATTATTATGGAAGACCTTATGGAGAAAATTGAAAACAAAAGAAAGGATCGGTTTCTCACGGTAGAAATTGAACATCTCGTAACAAAACTTGAGGACGAAGGACTTATGAATAGAACTAATTTTGAAAGTAAATGTGACGAATTGTATGTACTTTGTTACAACTATTTAAAAAAATGGAACAATCAACATGTAAATAATTTAAAATCAATGTTATGGATAACATTAGCCCCAAAGACAATAGTAAATTGGGAAAATGTCAAAAAATCAGTAATCTTTATAAAAACTATAATGTCAAATAATGTTAATTTTGATGAAGAAATGTTTTTTGAACAATTTAAAGTTTTTGAAAAAAATTTTCATCAACAAAATGACGAGTGGCATTGTCAAGAAATAGAAAATAAATGGATATATATTTTCAAAATATTCACCGATAATAATCATTCATTTTTTGAGCTATTAAAAGTTGTTGAATTTAGTTTTGTTTTACCGGGTTCAAATGCAGCTGTGGAACGTGTTTTTTCACTGATGAACAGCACATGGACAAATTCAAGAAACAAACTTGATATAAAAACGGTAGAAGCTTATCTTATTATAAAAACGTGCTTCAATAATACATCTTGTGAAGAGTTCTATGACCAAATTTTGGGAAACAAGTCTTTATTAAAACAAGTTCATGGATCAGCCAAATATGTAGTAAAATCAACAGAAAAAACCCTGGACTCCGAAGGTTCCGAAGACTAATAATATGAATTATTATTATTATTATTATAATTATATTGCTTATATACAAAATTCATTAGAAACAATTTATATACCTATATATATGTAAAAAAGTAAATATTATTTTATTATAATTTATATATATATTATTTATTTTTTTTTTAATTTATTAATTTATATATTATATAATATTTATCTATTCAAAATGTCCCGGGTTCGAAAAAATATAATCTGGTAACCCTATGAAAATATGTTTAAAATAAATCAAATATAAATAAAGATGCATAAAGACCTGTCCGTAATACGTTTATATTATAGAATAAATAAATACTACCATTGAACCACGGTTATTTATAGTTTATTCAACAATATAGGTACTGCTCTAGCGCAAGTGTCCAGACGAAAATCGTCTAATAAGATTTATAATTAATTAAGGAAAGCGAGAATTATATGTTACCTACATTAGATCAATCAAATGGTGTTGTTGCCTGAGTAATTTTTTTAATTAATATAATATTTTAATTGTTATTATTATTACTATTGTTTCATATTATACATTAATTCAATATATGATTTAAAAATTGATGGTCAAATCATAACTTATGCTGATAGCACATGTCTCTTGTTTTCCGGTAAATCGTGGGAATATGTTCGTTTAAAAGCAGCTAAAGAATTTACAAAAAGTGATTAATTACCTAAACCATAGGAAACTCTCAATAAATTATAAAAAAAACTAATTTTATAAACTTTTCAATCAACATATATGAGAACAATCATGATGATTTAAAACTCTGTTTTTGTGGGAATGTAGATAATTGTAATGACAGCATGGGTCATAAAATATACATGGTTTCTAGTATAAGATATCTGGGCTTAATTTTTGATAATAATATGAGATGGAATGTCAAGAATATTGTAATGCGCATGCGTACATTATCGTTTAGTTCTTTTAAATTAAGGAATTTCCTGCCTGTGAAAGTTATGCGTATAATTTATTTATCATTATTCCAAGCAATATTTCAGTATGGTTTGTTGGTATGGGGAGGTTTGAATGAAAACGCGGTTAGACCACTAATAAAAAGGTATCTATTATATATATAATAAAAAATTATGAACATTTTTTTGTGGAAAAGATAAGAAAAAAAAGGGAATTGATGGCTTTTGATGTCAGTATTATATTGCAAACAATCTTTTGGTCAAAAATTCGTCGATTATTTAGGTCCTAATTATTATAATTCAATGCCTTTACATATAAAAAAAATCATTTACTACTCAATTGGTAATGTTAGTATTACGTGCACCAAAAAACAACTTAACTCGTGGTTATTTTCACTAATAGTTTAAAAAAAAAAAAAATAAATAAATAAATTGTTCAATATTATAATAATTAAAATATGAACTAAGTGAATGTTACTTATGGAATTTACTATGTTACTCTATCTTCTATCTTTTTATTTATGTTAATTTGAAATTAGGTTTATTTGTGTGTAATTTTGTTTTTTTTTTTTTTTTTTTTTATTTAAATAGTTTTTCTTTAAATGTACAATTTATAGTATAAATAAAGAAAATATATCTACTCCTTTAAGCCTAAGCTTGTGATGGAGTAGAGAGTTACAATAGTTATAGAATAATAATAGTAGTAATAAAGAAATAATAATATAAAGTAATTTAAAAAAGCAACATTAGATAAGATAAAATAAACAAAATTAAAAATTTTGGATAGGTACATCCTTTCTCAAAAGAAACAAAATTCCTTAATAAGTATATAAAAATAAAATAAGAATAAGAATACAGAGTTAGTCGACAAACTATTTTGATCATAATAGACAGACCAGTTCACAATTACAATACAATTCAATAATATATAGGATACACAGAAGACATCATAATATATGAAATATAAGAGAGAAACGTGGCACAATTCAAATTTCGTTATTTAAAATTAGTACTTAATCTTATACATTTAATTTTTAATAAAACAAATCAGGAAAAAAATAAAAATAAAAATCATATTCACTGAAATCACTGAAATGCGAACTCTTATTCAAGGAGTAATTAATTCTGAGAATAGCCATTTATAGACGACTTTTTTCTCATTAACTAGACCTCCATGAATATTTTTTTTGTGTATAGTCGGCATCTGATTAAAATATGTAGGACCTAAATAATCAATAAAAGATTGACCAAAAGATTTTTTCGAATATGTCACTGGCAGATTATAGGCTATATGATCTCTTAAATGTCTGTTATTAATATTGAGATTAGTAAATTTTTTTATTGTAAATAAAATTGCATACTTCTTGTATAGGTACCTTATTGGAAGAACGCCTAATTTTATGTAATTCACTTTTGTAGAGCCTACTAGAGATTTTCTATTTAGTATTATTCTTAATATGTTATTTTGATTGGTTTGAAGAATTTTTAAAACATTTTCTTTTGCACCTCCCCATACCAAAATGCCATATTGACAGATGGATTGATAGAATGCAAAATAAATTGTACGTAAAGTTTCTACTGGTAAGATCTCTTTAAGTAAAATGAATTTGTGCAGTGAGTATCGCAGTTTCCCTACTAAATTATGGATATGTAAGTTCCACCTTAAATTATTGTCGAAAATAATACCCAGATAGCGAATTTTTGAAACTTGATTAATTTGCTTACAGTTTTGCATATTGCATATCAATTGATTTTGGCAATTGTGAATTATTAGAGGAAAGTTGTCATCGGTAATCTTATTTATTGAAAACTTCATGTACGTAGTTTTGTCTGAGTTTATAGTTAAGCCTAGTTCACTTATGCATTCGTATGTTAAATGTAGACCTTTCGTTGCTTTGAGGTACACCCCTTCCCAGCATTTATCCGAGAATAACAGACAGGTATCATCTGCGTAGGTCACTATTTTGCCATCAATGTTTAAATCACAAACTGCATTAATGTATAGTATGAACAAAATGGGACCTAGAACACTACCCTGTGGGACACCATATTCGATATAGTTTGTGTTGCTTATTGCATCATTTATTTTCACCATTTGTTGTCTGTTAGAAAGGTAGCTCTTAAACCAGAGGAGACTTTTATTATTAATTCCAAAATTTGGTAGAATTCTTAATAAGATATCATGTTGAATAGTATCGAAGGCCTTTGCTAAGTCAATGAAAATGGCAATTGTTTTTAAACCTTTATCTAGAGAGTCATACATAAATTGAGTGGCATTATATAAGGCATTTTCAGTGCTTAGTCCTGGTCGAAAACCGTATTGGCTTTTAGATAATAAATTGTTTTTCTCAAGGTAAGATAACAGCCTTGTTTTAATTATTTTCTCAAATATTTTGGAGAAATTTGTTAACATAGATATAGGTCTGTAGTTACTTATAGTTTTACGGTCGCCGCTCTTGAATAGAGGCTTAATAATTGCAAATTTAAACTTATCAGGGAAAATACTATTTTCTAGACTCAAATTGAAAATATAGACTAGTGGAGTAATAATTAATTCAGAAATACTTTTAAAAATTTTAACTGTTATATTATCATAACCGGCAGAAGTGTCATCTTTAAAGTTTTGAATAATTATTCTTAATTCTGATACATCAATTTTTTCTAGAAAGATCTTATCAAAGGAACATAATATATTATCGTTGGATTTATTTAATACCAGATTGTGAGTTTTATTGAAGTTTTTTGCTAAATTTTTACCAACGTCTGTAAAATAGTTATTAAACACATTTGACACTTCTTTAGGATTATCATCTATATTCAATATTTTGTCGTTCACTATAACAGATTTGATTTTATCATTATTTTTTGGATTGCTACCCGTGATCTCATTGATTAGTTTCCAGGTTAATTTTGGGTTATACGACACTTTGCTAAATTTGTCTTCATAAAATTTAATTTTGGCAACCCTCAAAAGTTTAGTGAATGTATTTTTATATTTTTTATAGTATGACGCAAGACTTACATTATTTGGGTTTTTTTTGCACTTCATTGAAATATATTGTTTGTGACGAACTGAGCATAACAGACCCTTGGTCATCCATTCTTTCAATCTTTTATTTTTAGAGTTTATGTTTTTTGTTGTTAAGGATTTTTTTATGGCATTCATAATTGTATTTTGGAAATTTGTTGTGCATACATCTACACAGTTAGATTCATATATCTTAGTCCATTTTTCATTATACAACATTTGTTTAAGTTTATCATAGTTTATGGCATTGATAGTATTGATAATGTTTTTAATTTTAACAGGTATAGGAATTGTAACAACAATTGAACAATGGTCAGTTATATCAGTTAGTAGAACACCCGCGTTAATATTACCGAGTGAATTATTATTGTCTTTAATGAACACGTGATCTAAACACGAATGTTGTTGACCTAGTGGTAATCTTGTAAATACATTTATAAAAGAATAGAAACCAGTTTCTGATAAAAGGTCTAGGTAATCATAATTATTAACTGTTTGTGCACCAATTATGTTTATATTCATGTCCCCAATTAAGGTAATTATACCAGAATTCAAATTTAAATTATTGAAAACATATTTTAATGAATTAATGAAACCTATAAAGTCAGATGAGGGCGATCTGTATATACATACAATAGTTATAGGCACATTGTTGATTATCAGCGATAGTTTTACAATATTATATTCTAAAAAGTCATAGTCATAGAAATCCGCATTTAGATGATTTTTCACAAAAATTATTATACCATAATTTTGGTTTCTTTTTGTACTAGAGAATAATATACTGTAACCAGGTATCATATAGTGACAAAACAGTGAGTTATGCCACGTCTCAGTTAAAACTATAATATCAATTTTCTTATTATTTACATCATTTTCTAAAAATAAAAGCAGCTCGTCAAAATGCGCATTCACACTTCTTATGTTAAAACATATGATATTTAATAGAGATTCATTATTGTTATTTAAATATGAATTATATTCAGAGAACGACTCAAAATAATTAGTTCTATATTTAATACTATCAATCACATTATTAAATATATCCATGATAAAT